TGTGTGTGTGTGTGTGTGTGTGTGTGTGTGTGTGTGTGTGTGTGTGTGTGTGTGTGTGTGTGTGTGTGTGGTGTGTGTGTGTCTTCATTTGTGAGATTATACAGTGAGGCTAGCCCAGCCCCTATGTGTCAGGCTTGTCTGCAGAAAAATTATGGAAGTCCTTTCAGCGGATCAGCAAAGGCTGGACGAGGTCACAGCAAAGTTGTGACCTTTGGGAGCGTTACTGAGATCGAGCAGCCAATAGACACAGTCATGTCAAGTGAAGGGGAGGAGACAGAGTTGCTAAGACGACTCCTTTCCAAGGCAACTGTAGCCATGCCTACCATTGGCCTGGGCTCCCAGCCTTCAGAGCGTGAACGCAGGTATGAGGACAAGGCACGACAACCTGGGCCTGAATCCAGCGTCTGTCGCTCTAGTATGGACTGCATAATAGTTTGTAGAGAAATAGACATTCCATTAGTTTAAAAACAAATACAAATATGTGCTTGTTTTAATTATTCAGAGGTTTGGATACACTTCTTTGCATTGTACTGATGTGCTTGCAATTTAAATGTACATGCTGCTGTGTCTAAAGGTGTAAATACAGAAAGCTGCCAGGCTGATATTAGAACAACTGTATCAGTATTGGAAAAGCTTGTTTATTTGATGGCTTGTTGTAACCAGAATATTTCTTTAGGTAGATATCAGAGGCATGTTTTAAGACATTTCACAACAAAGTCCTCCTAATGGAGAAGATTTAGAAGATTTTTTAAGCTCTCAAATGTATTTTTCTGCAATAAAAGTCCTGATCAGATTGTAGACGACCTGTGGTAAATGCATAATTCTTTAAATATTAGAGTAAATATTACTATACTAGCAGAGTGATTTCAGATTTGGCATAGTTACATGTTTCATTAAAATCTAGAAAGCTAGGGAGATATCAGTTATTGATATTGATTGGTGTATACAGCAGCCAATAGCACTGAAACAGTAGAAACACAGTGGCAACTTGTTAGCTGCTAGCTTGCTTATTGGTCCTGTGTTTCATAGAGGATGGATATTAAGAATCACTCTTGATTGCAGTATGAGTCATATTTGTTTGTCTAAAATGGATTGAGGAACGCCTTTAAAATAACTTTTGGTTTTTGCTCTCCGTGTTACTTGCATTAAGGCGACATTTAGCTCAGTAATTGTGATATTAAAAAGTTTATTTTATTAGAATGAGCTATTCTTCATTACTTTAAAAAATATTTCTGATATATGTTTTTTTTTTTTAATGTTGGTAGTTGATGGTGATTTTCACATGATTCAGATGCTCATGTTGCTCAAAATGTCATCACAGTAGGATAAGCAGAGTTTATTTTGCACCAGTAGATGGTAGAACGATAGATTTGCATCAGTTTTGCATGTTTTTTCTAACCCCTATTTATTTGTGCTTAAGAGACTTTCCCTTTTACAATCCATATTTTGTACTTTAAGTGGCAACTGTGGCCAGCTTGTCTGCATGTTCATGCCTGTTTTTTTTTTAGTTTGGTTCAAAATGTTCCCTGATTGTTTCTGCAGTTTGAGCTTAATGAGATGCTCTCACAGCCAGGTAGATGGAGCTGACGTCCATCAAACTTCCCATCCCACTTCTGACCTCTGGACCTCTTCCCCTGAAACCGCTCCCACTCCTGCTGAGCTGGATGCACGTCTGGCTCAGTATGAACGGAGGACAGACGAGGAGGAGGATGAGGATGAGAAAGAGGCGAGGATCCCTGACTTACAGAAAGACGACATGATGGCCAGGAGGACAGGAGTTTTCCATAAACAAAGCACTGCCACAGTATCTTTCAACCGCTTCCTGCCTCTGCCCTCCTCCCAGCGCTCCAAACAAGGCGAGGTAACAACTGATGCTGCTCCGCGGAGCAAAAGAGAAGTGCAGGCAGAGAGAAGCAAGAAACTGAACGTCAGGTGGGCGACGATTTGTATGGAACCGTCTTAACAGCATGACGAGGGACTAACAAGCTTGGGTTGAATCCTGAAAATAATTTCTCAAAATATATGATTGGTTATTTTCAACTACTGGAGTTTCTCTCATAGAGTGGAGCAACAGCAACCCAGAGTTTCTATGGAATCACCCAAACCTCAGCCTGATACAACTGTGATGAGAGCCACGTCGCACAGAGAACATGAATACGAAGATGACGATAATGAGTATGATGAGAACGAGCCTGTGCCTGACCTGGAGAAGGATGATATGATGGCTCGGAGGGCTGGATTGTTACAAAAAACGAGTGCAGCCAGAGCAAATCAGTTTCTCCCAGTACCTGGATCAGTGAAGTATAACGTTGCCCCAGTGTCTGCGATGAAGCTGCTACATCACAGCAGACCTAAACTCACAGAGAAGATTGCCATTGAAAGGTATTTACTGGATTTCAATGATGAGATTGGGGTTTCAGTCAACTACAGCTGCTAACAAAGCATATGTCACTGGCAAATGTTTAAGCATGTTTACAAGTAACATGACCTGCAGTGCTAACATTAAAAAGTCTCTTTGGATTTGACTGCGTCGTTGTTTTGTAAAATGCGGACATGTTTGAGTGCTTGAAGCTTGATGCTTGATATAGTTACATTTATGTGTAATATAAGAACTAGTGGACTGTGATTTGCTGGGGTTGGATCGTTGATTTGGTTCTAAAAGTTAACAAAGTGTGTGCCTGCTGTGACTTTTCTTCCAAGTGCTTTTTTTTTTGTTTGTTTTAATTGTTGAGGGTTTACAGCGGCTGTGTTTGGCATGAACTTGTTTTTAGCGTTTGTTTCTAGCTGAGAATGGACATCTGTTTATGATGTATTTAAAGAGTAAATTACTGCTGACTCACAACAGAACAAACCAGCGTCTGCTCTGTCCTCGGATTGGAATTTCTTTGGTTTGATCACCCACGTTCCAGAATGAAATGATTTTTATTTTTTTAAATTACATTTTACATTTTTTTTAAATAATCTAACTTATTTCTGGGATCACATAAAATTATTTGAAAGAACTGCTCAACTTAAAGTAATCACTGCGACTTTTCATTTATTACAGTAATCTTTATTTTCCCCATATGTTTAGTTGTATTTAGTTGCCTGAATACCAATTCAATATTTTTCGGTTTTATTTGATGACTTGTATTGTTCCAGCTGAACATTGTCTCTGCTCACCTATAACAAGTAATGAAAAATGTAGCTCTTAAAAAGAAACTCCCTCCCATTAGAAATATTGTTTAGGTATTTTTAAGGGTTTCCAAAAAACACTTACAATTCATTACCTCCAGTAGGAATCAAGCCATAATAGCAGGCCGACTATATATAGTTGAATTGCTTTGTACTTCTCTGGATTTTGAGATTATTTGTCAACACTTTTGATAGTTTAATAGCATTGTTACTGCAATAAAGTATCGCCATCAGATACAGAAGGGGGACTTCTAAAACAGAGACTTGCAATAGTAAAATGTCATAATGACTACTTGTAATCTATTTAATCCACACATCTCAGTGTTAGTAGTGCTCATACCAACTCTATCTCCAGTGGGAAGTTGTTCAACATCAAATCTGATCACTCCAAAATTTGTGTATGCTGTTTTTGAACAGATACTGTAAGTATTTAGAGACACTGAGATCCCAAAAGCAGCAGATAAGACCTACAACAAAATGCATAACTACATACCTTTAGATACAAGTGAGAAGATATGTTTACTGGAAAGTGGGAGATCTGACTAATGACCAGAAATGATACAGGTTTCATTCGAGTGAGAGCAGATCAGCTGCAGTCTTCTGCTGTCTGTGAAGCAGTCCTGGTTTACTTTAAGTGCTGTATCTGCTGGTAATCTTGGCCTTGTCATTGGATCTTAGCAGCATCGTAACCATGGCAGCAGAACCTCAGGCTTCTTCATCCCAGGTACAGACTCTCCCAAAGCATGCAGGGCCGAGGGAGGAGCAGGAGGATGAAAGAAAGCAAAAGAGAGCAATCTTTAAAAGTTCTGTCACAGATGTGACACAGTCCCTCTTTTCTCCACCGCTCACCCCTCCACCCAGTCCTGCTGCTGCTGCCAAGGCTTGTAAAGTGCAGTCAGAGACTGAGAAGAAGAGTGTGGAGGAAAGAGTTGAGGAAAAGGTGGAAGAGAGAAAGAGGAATGTGAATGAAGAACCACAAAAGAAACCCTTGTGGCAGGATGATGATGATCTGCCACCCATGATGTGAGAAACCTGTCAAACTCTTTCTGCATGTGTCTTCAGCACTTTTCTTCTCTGACTTAGCTCTTGCATTTATCCAGTCCGTGTTTATATGAATTACACTCTGGGAATGGAAGTGAATGACTGAATGATGGCAAAACTGAAAAATAAATGCTTTCCCCTGGGATGTCAAAGTGTGAAATCTGCATTAATGAATAGCACGCTGTTACGCATTCCTTCCCTTGCCTGCTCTGTCCTCTCATTCCCTTTATTCTGTTATTGTTTTAGGATGAGCCGGCGAGTTGCTTTTATGTCTGAGGACACAGAGTAAGTCTTTTAATGTGAACCTGGCTGAGTTTCTGCTGCATGATACCATCATATAAAACTCTACGTACATTATATTTGAGGACAACATATATATATTCATAAACCACACTAAAAATGTAGCTTGTTGCATCACCAGGACAATACTCATTACTGACATCAAGCGTTTTCATTTTTATCTTTTTTTTTTTTTTTTTACTCAATTGTGATTCTGTTTCTCTTTATTTGTCTAAAAGTGTTTGTCATTGAAGTATACTCCCTCATAATAGCGACTCAACTAACAGTCACTGAGTCAAGTTTAGGTATTTGGCTTGCCAGAATAATTCTTTCTTCACTCAGCTGTTGGTCTGTTTTTATTGCGATTTGTCTACGGAAACACACAACACATATAAATTACTGTGTGGAAATGTGGAGCAAAACATACACTGCACAACTAGTGTATTTGCCCTTTGAGTAAGGATAAAATGTAGTGTTAATTGGACTTAAACTGGTTGTGTATTGGTATGTCTTGCTTTGCGTTCTTATCTTGTAATAAAAGTCAAAGTTTTAATGACTAGAGCGTTTTGGTTTATGTCATTTCCTCATTTTGAAAAAGGTGCCAGTTTTTCCGAGCTGTTCCTTTCCAGTCATGGATGATGTGATATTTTTTCACAGTGTATGTGTTTGAAATGTGTTGAAAATATTGAATTAACCTGTACAAATCAATGACATTTGTTCTTTTTCAGATCCAGAATGTCGAGTGATGGGATTCTGTCATTTCTAAAAAGTTTTATTCTGGTATTTTCCTATGTAGGAGTGTGAGCATGGGTGACATCCTTAACGAGGAAGAAGGAGGACACTTACCTCCACTGAGCCAGTCACGAAATGAACGCATGCATGACCAGTGTAACATGGAAGAGGACGACCACTGGAGAGACGTAAGAGACTTCTCATATTTAAATAGATGGCACATAGTGTGTTTTAATAAAAGAAAGGAGCATATTATGTGCAGTAGCTCACTATTTTAACAGCAATATGATATATATATATATATATGATTGACATTATTTGACTCCTTTGAACCTTTTGGCAGGACTTGGCTCGTTGGAAGAATCGCCGCCGCAGCGCATCACAGGAACTGATTAAGAAAGAGGAGGAGAGGAAGAGGATGGAGAAAAGGATGAAGGAGAAAGGAGGTGACAGCAACAAGAGGAAAAGTATTAAGACCTACAAAGAGATCGTGGAGGAAAAGTAAGGGTGATATTTTAGTGTTGCACATGGCACCTAACTAAAGAAAAGTTTATTTGAACAGTCCAGTTTTTGGCTTCTCTCGGACAAAAAACTTGATGTACAATGAAGAAACATAAAACATTCTATTGGAATGCTGTTATGTGTTTTATATGGTCTTCCTATATGATTTTAATTATATGTGTAAGGACATAGTCAAAGTTTAATCTCATCTCATCTGATCTTAACTCAAATAATATTATTTTTGTATCATTTGCTTACTTTTATTTCCAGGGAGCGTCGAGAGTTAGAGTTGTGCGAGGCCTACAGGAGTGCAGCAACTCCAGAGGAGGCCGCCATGGTTTTACAACGCTACGCTCTCCGCTTTACAATCAGTGACGCAACACTGGACAGCTTAAAACTGCCTCGATCCACTTCAAAACCCACACAGGACATCAGTCTGGTGGAGCACAAGGAGCACACAACATTACCTGTTAGTGAGACTGAAACATCAGATCCTCTGAGGCACAAACCAGACCAGGCTGTTATAACGGACCAGAGCTGCACAATACCTGAAGAGATGGAGACAGAGTCAACTGATCAACAAGAGACTTCAGATTCTGCCTCCTCCAGCACCCCGACTCCCAGCAGTCCCCCAACCCCCATCTTTAACTCAGAAACTGTGCCACCTCGGCCACTCCAGCTCCATGAACCTCAAACAAAACCTGCCGATTCTCCAAACGCACATCAGAAAGTAGTGACTGCAGGACATGCAAAACACACACCGCCTCAGATTGCACGAGTGCAGCCGCACACCGCACAGCCTGCACACACACTCCCCTCCCCTCAATCTGCATCCCCAAGACCTGTTCCCCTTCTGGCAGCCAAACCCTACTGCCAGCCCAGGAGCACACAGGCTGGACACAAACCTGTAAAGGTGAGGGCTGTTTATAGTTCACTATGTGCGGTTTGAAAGTTTGCCCAGTAATATGTCATGTCATGTTAATATGTCAGTGGCAAAACAATGAGCAACTTTCTATAAGCAGTGATACACCTTTGTGCTTTTCCGAATAAGGAAGTTTAATCTTACCAAAAAAGCTGTTGTGATCCAGATATTTCATATTGAGCCAGATCCAGATATGAATATTAAATGTTTAACCTTTTTGCTTATACAGATCTTTAAACGATGTTGTATACAAATTGAAAGCTTCTAATCTCTAATAATCTCTAAACAGTATGTGGACTGTGTGGACTAAAGTTGTAGCCATGAGTTTGTGAGTCCTGCACTAAATGAAGTACTAAAATGCCCCCCCCCCCCCCCCCCCCCTTCCAGATGGACGGTTTGGTACGAGTGAACGGAGAGGCGACAGAGGATTTGTCTACACCCACTCTGCCTACCCCTGCTGCACCTTCCCCACAGGAGATCAAAGAAGTTCCCTCTAGACAAACTGAGAAAGATATTCCCTCCAAGCAGACTGCGACCAGTCAGCAGGCAGTGGAGCAGGTGCCACCTCCTAAGACACCACCTCCACATACACCACCTGCACAGACACCACTTCAGCAGACACCACTTCAGCAGACACCACCTCCACAGACACCACCTCCTAAGGCACCACCTCCACAAACACCACCTCCACAGACACCACCTCCACAGACACCACTTCAGCAGACACCACCTCCACAGACACCACCTCCTAAGGCACCACCTCCACAGACACCACCTCCACAGACACCACCTCCACAGACACCACTTGAGCAGACACCACCTCTTCAGACACCACCTCAGGTCACACCATCTCAGGAGACAGCACCTCCTCAAACAGAAAAGACAACCTCGTCTTCGGCTTCTGCCATCAGCTCCTTGATCGGAGGCCGAAACTGTATCATCACAACAACTATTGTGACAGAGCTTACGCAGACTGTAGTGGAGCCTCTTCACCTGGATAGCCAAAGTGAAGGACAGGTAATATTACAAGTGGAATGGATCGTTTTAGTTGGTCCTCTAAATACAATGAATTAATTATTTTCTATACACAGGTGAACATTTTTCCAAAGAGATACCATTGATTTTGAGTTTGATGGGTTTGTTTCCCCCAAAATCTGGACAGCCATGTGTGTAGTTTCAAAGTTGTATTAAAACTGCATGGAAGTAAAGCTGAAAGCATTAAAGAAGTGTTCTGTAAAAAAATTGATGCCTCTGGTCTTAGGAATACTAGCACATAGTACACCGATTCATTAAAAAGTTACTCCCACAAGTAATCTTTTTTTATCTTTATTACCACAAAGTGGGAACACAAAGAAGATAATATAATTTACTATAATGTGCCCACAGGGAGATTCAGGTTACACTCAATTCTGCAGAACAAAAACAATACATGCAAAATGCAGTTTAGATACGAAAATTCTACATGAAAATAAAAACAAAAAAAAGGTATTTCCGTTTGAAACACAACTGTATGTTGCATTTGCTTTTAACCTTCATTAGTTTAGTTTAGAAGTTGGACTTTTTATTGCAGATCAGTCATGTTCAAGCTTTTTCATTTGGTCTTAAATAAGATGAAGACAGGCACTATTCAGCTGTTCACTTTGTGGGATTGCCTATGTAAAACAAGTCTCTAGTGTCCTCAGGGTGATTTAAATATTTCATTTACATGAGCTGAGGCCAGAAAGCGCCTGAGGAAAAATACAATAAAAAAATTAAGATCAACAATAATATGAGCTATTTCGGGTTGAAGCTGTGTTTGTGATAATTATCATTAGTTTGACTCAAGTTGTATGCCTGTTGGCACGGTCAATTATTTTTTTTATAAAGATGTATGAGACAAAGCAATTGCATATAAGCTAATGATTTGTTCACAGAGCTGAATAATTAACTTTCAGGTCAATGGTGCGATGGTGTTTTCTGAGAGACCAGAAGAGGAAATACAGGCTCAGCAACCTACATCACAAAACAGTAATCAAAACTATTCTCCAACTGTCACAGGTACAACTTTCAAATATGAAGACGTTTTGTTACGATATTCTGCAATTTCTCTTTCAGAATATGTCAGTTATTTCTATGTTTTGTTTGTTTTTTCTACCACAGAGGGACTAGAGGAGAGCAGTGTTTCTGTAAGTATCAGCGGGCAGCGTCAGCTTGTTTTTCTCTGTTTCTTCTTCATTCTTAAATTTGACCCTGTCCTGACCCTTCGTCTCCAGTAGTGGCTGTAGTCAGACTTGTCCTCTCACCTTTCCTCTCTTTCTGTCCTTTTGGTCCGTATACATGTGTGTGTGTGTGTGTGTGTGATTGTTGGTGGGGTCTGGGTAGATTGAGACCCCCATGTTGAACTTGGCTAAACGTGTTAATCACTGGGTCTGGGACCCAATGAGGAGCGTAAACGCCTGGAAGTTGGCAGCAGGAGCAGGAGCGCCTCCTACAGGTACACTGGTGGAAAAGGGGGGTATGTGCATGGCTCCATGAATGTTGAGCAGGAAACCAAAGGAAACAGGATGTCCTGGATGTGTATATGCATTTGTGTGGGATTTCTGAGTTTTTGTGAATGCAGTACAATGTACAATGTTTCTCTGCAGAAGCAATACGAGAAAGAACAGGAGAAGCTAAAGAAGGAGTGGGAGAAGGCACAGATAGAGGTGAAGGAAGAGGAGAGAAAACATAATGAAGAGGTATGATAACCCACACACAAACACATGTACACACAAACAGAAAACACAAGACATCATAAATATTTCACTCTTTTTGTGTATGTTTTATATTTTGTGTATAGGAAAGAAGGATCCTAGAGGAGACTGTGACACCCCTCAATCCTACAGGCTTGTTAAATCAGCAGTCAGACCAGACAGGGTCAACTGTATCATCTCCAGAAAAGACAGAGAAAAAGGGAAACAATGTTCCCTTCCAGGTTAACGGCCAAAGAATCTCCACAGGGAACGAGGATCAGCATGCTTCGAAGCTGCATTTTTTCCAGGGTGAGATCAAAGCAGAAATCCGTTTTGATTTGCGGGAGGTTATTACAATCTCAGTCCGACCATCTTTCTATTCCGGGTGATGAAAGTTAATTTATGATGTATATTTTATAGAATCTGTATGTGATGGTGCACCGCCAAAGAAACAGGAGCTGTGGAAGACGGCTTCTCTGGACCGAAACCCGCAGCTGAACCAGCCACTGATTGCTAAAAGGTGATATCCCCCTTTGAGTTTCCATTTGGCTGCATTTTTGTTCTAAATATGATTTTGAATATGATATTAAGATTATGCCACTTTTGAGTTTATTTAATTATTATATTTTGATTCTTTATTTGAAAAAGCCTCCATGTTACATTCAGCACTTCACAAAGTTACATTTGATAACCTTTTTACAGTCTGACTTTTTCAGAGACCTTTTCTCTTGAAGTAACATTGGTTTCATTATTTTAAAATGGACGCTTCCACTTAAGGTGCTGCAAAAGGGTGAAAAGGGGGAGAAAAAACATGTTGAAATAAAGAGAATAAGGAAAAAAAACAAGTTATATTCTCCGCCCTCTTCTCTACTAAGTCAGATAAAGTCTGGTCTTATGGTTAAACATACTCAGTCCACTTGGTCCAAATCTGGTCAAATCTTTCCTTTTAGACTTTGAGGGAAAATGACAGCTTGACTATATTATATAACATTTTAATAAATTATCCATGTATACTTATCAATAAAGTGAGTGAGTCAGATTTTAGATATGATGCACAAAGACTCACAACACTGCTGCTCCCACAGATATCAATAAAGTTTATCTTTATCTTTTATCTTTATCTTTATCTTTTATATCACATCATATCTTTGGGAGCCATAGGGTTGTGAGTCTTTTTGCGACTAAACTAAAACGTGCTTGTGCCCTTGTAATGAAGTGTTGGCCATATATTCTTTTGAAATTGAATGCCAAGATTTGAATGGAATATAAATGGCTGGGAGTATTGCATGAGAAGTCCACATGGGGAACATTTGAGTTGTGGATTATTCTTCTGTTGAATGAAAATGTGTTAATGATTAATGATAGATTGAAGTATTTAGAGTTGTGTCTCTTTTATATTAAAAATGACGTGTTGGGGTTTTTATTATTCAACTTAACATACTGTTTGGTATGTAAACCTATTATTGTCTGAGTTCAGTGAAATGTGTCACTAACATCTCACAGGTGCTTTTCAATGATCATTGATTCATTTCTGTTTATATGTCTTTTTTTTCCACAGGTCTGAATCACAAGACACTGTAACAAACAAACAGCAGCCCTCCCCTTCAACACATCAGCCTCCCTCACCCAGCAGGTAATGATGCTGGCACAAACATACAGGACTTACAAATTGCTGCATTGTTAGATGAAGTGAGGATGATTCAGTTCTTCTTTTCCTGCTGCCTGTGTGTGTGTGTGTAGGTGTGTAAGTGGGAAGAGACTCTGTTCTGGTTGTTCACAGCCGCTGGGAAAAGGAGCTGCAATGATCATCGATACACTGGGATTGTTTTTCCACATACAATGTTTCAAGGTACTGTGTTAAAACATGTGCACTCTATAGAGATCTTTTGTGTTTTTACTTCATAATTTCTCATCTAAAAAAGTCTCTGTGAGTGATGCTAACTGTCTTTGTCTCCCACAGTGTGGGGTGTGTAAAGGGCAGCTGGGCGATGCCACTGCAGGGACAGATGTACGGATTCGAAATGGACTTCTGAGCTGTCACGAGTGCTACATAGCATCTCGGGGTAGGATCATACAAACATACAAAAACACATAAAGTCGTCCACATGCATATGGATGTTGTCCAACATTTGTCTAGACAAAACATGAACTACATTCATACTGTCAGACTTTCCTACAGACCCTGTTCAATCTTTAAACTTAACTCAGTGTATTTTCTTAAGCACTGTAATTGTACTCCTTCACATTTTTATACAGATTTTTATAAACTATATACTTTCAGCCACATAATTCTTACATAGAAGTGAAGACTTTAACACCTCTCATGTGTTTGTACACAGGCAGAGGTCAGCCCACCACACTATGATGATCCACATTTCAACTGGAACTGGAACTGGAAGTCACACCATGGATGTCTGTGATTGGTTATTCTGGAAGCTGGACTCACATTTCGGGCTCTCGAAAGCTCTGGAAGACTCTGGAAATCTCTGCAAAGCTTTGGAATCATGATCTTTCTCTAAAATGCACAAACAGCTTTCTGGATATTACTGAGAGTGAAACTGGACTGACACAACATCAGATGCACATACAGTACTGTGTGTGCTTATTAACTGTACACATGTATACACTTCTATTAATATGTGTAGCATGAATGTTATCAAGAAATCAGTATGTTTAATCCTTTGCACATTCAAACTAAGCACAGTCAAGAAACTAAAATAAGGATCTGCTTAATGTGCTATGCTAAGTAAACCTCAACAACACATCTCAAACCACGTCTCAAAATCTTGACCATTAACCCCGGCTTCTGCTCTGATCACGTGACTCCCCTCTCTGAGTGTGACGTAAAGTGGTTTGGGTTTGATAACCTGAAGTAGCTTGACCATTATAATGCCTTACTCATCGTCATACCTTCTCATTAATTATGGGTTTTTGTGTTTACAGTTTTGCATGAAAGAAGAACATATAAATAAGTTATTGTGAGTTGTGCTCAGATGGAATAGTGTAAGTTTGATGTAGGTTGTTTTCTGTAACAGCTGAACTTTCCTTGCGTATGTTGTACATCATCATGATTTCTATGATTTTTTTGGGCATCTGGCTAACTAACATAAGCTTTTTTCTTTATGATGTCTTTTACAGGAATGAGATTGCATGTTTATTATTATTATACTTGTTCTTTGGATTTTAAATGTTTTCCCTTTAAGATGTTTTAGCCATTGTTAATTCTCATAGACTGACTGCGACCGAATACGTGCCTTATATAATGAATGCTAGGGCTAGGGAATGTGCAGGAGGATTTGACACCCACGCAGACCTCTGGGTCTCAGCACATTGTGTGAGTGCGTGTGTGTGTGTGTGCAGTGGAATCATGCATGATTAGGTATGAATGCAATGTGTGATTTTGACTTGAAGCACAGTTCCATACCAGCAAAAAAACATTTTTAATGGATAAACCTCTCCTGATCACCTTCTGTTCCCTGTTCTACTCCTTCCCTCTAGCTACACCAATGACGCTAAGTGATTTGCTGCTTCCCTGTTAATTATTCCTCATTTATGACAGTTCACAATGTCCTCCTATCTCTCCTTGTTTGCCTCTATCACAAGTGTTGCCTCCCCAGAGTCTGAGCTGAACGCCTCCCTCCTTCGTGTGTCGTTGCCTCTACCTTGACACCTGACAACAGCTTCATCACCTAGAGGAATAGAGCGCTCAGTTCATTGTATTTTATAGCAAGTGTATGTTTATCAATAAAATATTTTGAATGGGATTGTGTCTGTTTTATTTTTATCTTAATTTATTAAAATGCTCTTTCATTCCGGAGGTAAAACAATAAATATATGCTTTACTATTTCCCTCACGTGATCAAATAAAACAATTCAAGTAAAGCAGGCAGACCTTTAGCTCATGACTATTTATTTGGTTTAGCTATTTAGTTCTGATTCGTGTTTAAACTATTTAAACACTGTTGCTGGTTACATTCTGTAGCATTTCAGAAACATTGCTTTGTAATTTATGATAACATGTATCTTAATGGGCTTTCCACTCTTTAGTCCCATCACTTCCCTCATTTAATCTTTGTACTTTTTCAAACTCAATCCTAATTTGCCATAACGTTGGATTTTTTTTCCCTTCTCTTTCTCAGAGATAGAGATAATATTTAGTATAACGCGGCAGGGTGTGATTGTAGACAGTTT